CCTTAGCCCAATTCCCAAGATATGTAGATAACACCTGCTTGATCAGAGATGCTCTACCAGTTATCTCCTCACACTAAACTCATTAATTTCTCTCTAATTTGAGGTGCAATTTTCTGTTATCAAATTCTCCTTGACCAGTGCTTGATTATTGCACCCCTTGGAGAGGTGGAATTTCTCTTGTAACATTACATTTGTTACAGATTGCTGTAAAGTATATAATGAAAAAAATAAGTATTTTCTTGATTTAACATTTTTTTAATAAGGATACTGCAACACTCTTGCATTTTATTGGGATTGTGTAATCTAATAGTAAAAAGACAGTTTTTTTTTAATTTCACTTAAATTAAAGGTCACAGTGACCTTGAAATAGGACGCGACACACCTTCTACCTAAGATGCATAAATTGGCCAAGTTTGATGATTCTAGGTCTAATAGTTTTCTAGTTATGAGCCGGATAGGATTTTTCCATATTTGGCCATAGCATCTTAATTAAAGGTCATAGTGACCTACTTTTAATGCACGACACACCTTCTACCCAAGATGTATCAGCTGACAAAGTTTGATAATTCTAGGCCTGATAGTATTAAAGTTATGATCCGGACATGAAAAAGCTAACAGACGGACGGAGATGAACGCTATAACATAATACGTCCCGTCTTAAGAAGGGCATATAAAAATAGTTTTAAACAAAATATCACAATTACAGTTCAGGGCCTTATGCCATGGTCCGAATGGAGCAGGGTTCAAATTGACCAAACACCGTCGAACATGTTCATGCATGCTAAATTCTTTACAGTCACTTGAAGAACTATGAAGGATTTCATGAATTTATATAATATTTTTTCTAATTGCCAATGTCAAAGCATTGTATTAGTGATTGCATTGTTTTCGTCTTTTTTATTAGGTCTTCCATTCACAACGGAAGACCTATAGTGATTGTATTGTTTCTTTTTATTATTATTATTATTCCTCCCAAATTTTGTGAGCGCGATTACTCAGAGATGTTTCAATAGATTTTAACAATTTTTCAAAGGATAATAGGCTGATATCTGAAGTTTATATATTATAAATTCCATATTTTGAAAAATTCACTTCTGGTCTGAAGTTATGACCGAATTTCAAATTTTAAAATGCACTTTTGTCCGGCGTTTTTCTCAGAAAGGGTTTGAGGTTAAGATGTGAAATTTACAGGAATATTAGATCATGACATTCTTTTTGTTTCTACGTGATTTTCGTTTGTGTTCGGAACTTCCAGTCTGAACCGGAAGTGAATTTGTGTTTCAGTCAATTTTTGACTTTTTTCTGTTTTTGAAATATATTTTCAAGATATTTTTAGGCGATAGGTCCATAACTGCCAAATATATAATTTGTTTTGAAATCAGATCACCCGTTTTGTAGATTTCAGCTACTTTCAATTTGCTTTTAAAAAAATCAAAGTACTAAAAGTATTGAAAGCGCATTTCTTACTTTAACTTACATGAAGGTTATGCTTACATGTTTCTCTGCATAAAAAAATCAATATATACAGTATCATATATAAGAATGAAGACTACATTTAATTGCAGTAAATATAAAAGTACCTGAAGTACTGAGAGGACTGTTTTAGATACCCACTTTTTTCTAACTATAGGGTAGTATAAACAGGCATGTTTTTCTATACATAATGCATACAATAAGTTACCTATGGAAGCTATTTTCATTAGCAAATAAAAATCAAAGTACCGCAAGGACTGAAAGGATATTTACAATTCTTTTTTACTTTGACTTATATATAGATGATTCTCTAAATGTAAAATTCAATTCATACACTACAATTATTATAATTTGTCATGTTTATATATAAGGACGGCGAATACTTTCATTTTTGTAGTGAAAATCAAAGTACTGTAAGAACTGCCAGGTTGTTTTCTAGACACCCCCCCCCCCCATTTAACTTTTAAATTTAAAAAAAGTTTAAATATGCTTCTACTAATGAAAAAAAAAAACATGCACACAATATCATATATAAGGACAACAGATACATTCATTTTTGCAGTAAAAATCAATGGACTGCAAGTACTGAAAGGATAAATTTTAGATTCTTTACAACTTAATAATTACATACTGTACACGTTTCTCTACATAAAAAAAAATCAATGCAAATGGTACCATATAGGAACGGAAGACCTTTTTGTTGCCATGGCAACAAGAGTCTAGTTATTATTATTATTATACCGAACACTTTTTTCGTTCAGCTTTTAAGCAGTACATTTAAGAATAGGTATTTTCTTTTATAACCACTAAATAGAAAATATTAATATCTTGCGTATGTAAGGTTTTGAACTTCCGGTTTAGGCACTTCCGGTTTCTACTAAAGAAAAACTAAAATTTCTGAAGAAGCTAAAATCATACTCTCAAATTCAAGATATAAATTGTAGAGACCAATACCTACAAAAAATTTAGCGACAGTGATTTTTGACCACTGATACTTTCTGAGATATAAGTCTTCAAACATTGAAGAGGGGGGGATGAAATTTTTAAAAGTCAAAATTAACGTTAGCAAAATTATTTTGAGCATTGAAATACGTTAGGCGTAATAAGTAGAACATATAGTACATTTATATCCCCTCCAAATTCATAGCTAGGGGATAATAAAACAAGAGGCCCATGGGCCACATTGCTCACCTGAGCACTGTGGCTAGGAAAAAAAGCTAAAAATCAGTTCAGTATTGAAAAAGCTTACATGCATAAGTGGTCCTAAGGGGGGTGGGTGGGGGTGGGGGTATGATTTGAACAAAATTGAATCTACACTAACTAAGGATGCTCACATATTTCTTTGACTAACTGTGGCTTCTTTTCTTACAAGATTAAACTTTCATTGTGGTCCCAACCTACCCCCAGGGGTCATGATTTGAACAAACTTGAATCGACACTATCCGAGGATCCTTCCATATAATTATGACCAATCATGGCTTTGCTGTTCTTGAGAGAAAGATTTTTAAAGATTTTTCCTATATACTCCTATGTAAGACTTTGATCCAACAATTGTTGCCCCACCCTACCCCCGGGGGTCATGAATTGAACAAACCTGAATCTACACTACATTAGGATGCTTTCATATAAATATGACCAATAATGGCTTTGCTGTTCTTGAAAAGTAGACTTTTGATGATTTTTCCTATATACTCCTATGTAAAACTTTGATCGTCCATTTTGGCCCCACCCAACCCCCGGGGTCAAGATTTATACAAATTTGAATCCACATCACCTGAAGATGCTTCCATATATATATTACCAATCATGGCTTAGCTGTTCTTGAGAAGATAATTTTTGAAGATTTTTCGGATATACTCCTATATTAAAATTCGATCGCCCATTGTGGCCCCACCCTACATCCAGGGGTCCTGATTTTAACAAATTTGAATCTACACTACCTGAGGATGCTTTCACATAAATATAACCAATCATGGCTTTGAGAAGATTTTTAAAGATTTTTCCTATATATTCCTATGTAAAACTTTGATAGTCCATTGTGGCACCACTCTACCCCCAGGTGTCATGATTTGAACAAACTTGGATCCACACTACCTGTCGATGATTCCACATGAGTTTCATCTTTCCTGGCCCATTGGTTCTTGAGAAGAAGATTTTTTTTAAAAATTTCCATTAATTTTTCACTATTTTTCAATTATCTCCCCTTGGAAGAGGCCGTGGCCCTTCATTTGAACAAATTTGAATCCCCTTCAGCCAAGAATACTCTGTGCCAAGTTTGGTTGAAATTGGCCCAGTGGTTCTGGAGGAGAAGATGAAATTATGAAAAGTTAATGACAATGCCGACGACAACGACGACAGACAATGGACAAATTTTGATCAGAAAAGCTAACTTGAGCCTTCAGCTCAGGTGAGCTAAAAATTGCATGGACAATCACTTTTCAAGACGTGTCTCATTCAGAGCAATTGCATTCATCTAAAGGTTTTTGGGACTATATACAACAGCGAGCTGATTTGTGACCAAACAGTTACTTCTTGCATAAATAACAAAGAAGACCAATTCTGGTTAATGTGATAATTGATTGGTAATAATTCAGCGCAATGTGAAGTTATCATACTTATCCATGCCTCACTGCACACAAAGTGCTGTAATACCCCTATTACCACATCAATCTGTTTATCATGCCCCTTGGATTGTTGAACAAACATAGGTGTTATTAACACCATTTTGTACACGGTGTATATCCCTTTATCGGTCAAACAATTAAAATTCCCACAGAAGCCATCGTTGAATATTTCAGTGTACCCCTTCGGTAAGAGGAAGTTTCATTTTCATTAGTTATTATAATCTAAAGAATAATTATGACTAGTGGTATATTTGGTAAATAAATTAAGAAAAATATTGGCAGATAATGAAAAAATATTTAGGTAGACTATTTCAAAGTTACTCTTCGAACTGTAAAAAAGATGATAATTTTCCCATTAGCGATTGTGAAAACTATTTCAAATGTCAATATGGTTGCAATTTTATTTTAAGTGAACGATTGCGACTTCCAACTTCACAAGATGGACGCAGAAAGCATGTTGTTTAATTAGTCAGAAATATCTTATGTTTTCCTTGCTTTTTTACGATTTTGATATTTTTACGTGCCAGAAAAACGTCAGAACAGGCACCATTATGAAAATTGGGAATTTGCCGCCTCCAACTGGAGGTGACATTCTCGGGCTGATTTTCGATACTTACCAACCGAATTTAATTTTAATTTTGAGAATTCATTCACACAAAAGGTATAGTCGTGATTATAATATTTTCTTTTTTAAACAGCAGTCATTTAAATGAACATTTCAAATTTTTCTAAGTGCAAAAAGGTTGTTTAACTGCTTTTTACCAAGAAACAAGGCATGTGTTTCTCTATATTTTTAAAAATTCTTTATCATAGTAGATATTTTAAATATGCTTTTATAAAACACTGACATTACAATACTTCCAGGTGCACTCCTCTTTAAAGTGAGTAAAATTTTCTCTTTACCTGTAACAGTGACCTGGTGCAATACGCCCGGCTCTTCCTGCTCTTTGATTGGCAGCAGCTTTTGACGTCCAACCAATCCTAAATGTTGAAACTCCTGTCACTTTATCATAAAACTTTGTTTTCACCTGTAAATTCATGAGAGTGGTAATTAACCTGCATTGCTTAACTCATTAGAAACAATTGAATATCAAAAATACATACATGTACAATTAGTATACACATGACTAACTATGAAAAACTCATGTTCAAGGGGAAACTAAATAAAATCATAATCAAAATGCCCCAAAACTATAATTATTTAAATTATTTTTATATACAGTCAAACCTGTATTAAGAGACAATCCAGCAGAGAAGGAAAAAAGGTCACATATAACAGGTGGTCTCTTAATACAGGTTGCTTATTTTCCGTCTGTCACACTCTTCTTTCTCAAACTCCTCTTACATTTTACACAGTAGCCTAATCATCTTTTGGGAGATGTTTGGTGGTGTCATGTAGATGTGAAATAAAGTTTCGGAATTTTCATTTTCACCCTGGGGGTCAAATGGGGGTCGAAAAATGACGTTTTTTATGCAAAAAGCCCCTGGTTCCTTGAACTCCTCTTACATTTTATCCAGTTGTCTAATCACCTTTTGGGAGATGGTTAGTGGCATCCTGTAGATGTGCAGTAAGGTTTCGGAATTTTCATTTTCACCCTGGGGGTCAAATGGGGGTCGAAAAATGACGTTTTTTATGCAAAAAGACCCTGGTTCCCTGAACTCCTCTTACATTTTACCCAGTATGTTAATCATATTTTGGGAGATGGTTTGTGGCATCCTGTAGATGTGCAGTAAGGTTTCGGAATTTTCATTTTCACCCTGGGGGTCAAATGGGGGTCGAAAAATGACGTTTCTTATGCAAAAAGACCCTGGTTCCCTGAACTCCTCTTACATTTTACCCAGTATGTTAATCATCTTTTGGGAGATGGTTGGTGGTGTCCTGAAGATGTGCAGTAAGGTTTCGGAATTTTCATTTTCATCCTGGGGGTCAAATGGGGGTCGAAAAATTACAATTTTTATGCAAAAAGACCCTGGTTCCCTGAACTCCTCTTACATATTACCCAGTATGTTAATCATCTTTTGGGAGATGGATGGTGGTGTTCTGTAGATGTGCAGTAAGGTTTGGGAATTTTCATTTTCACCCTGGGGGTCATATGGGGGTCGAAAAATGACGTTTTTCATGCAAAAAGACCCTAGTTTCTTGAACTTCTCTTACATTTTACCCAGTAGTCTAATCGTCTTTTGGGAGATGGATGGTGGTGTCATGTAGATGTGCAGTAAGGTTTGGGAATTATCATTTTCACCCTGGGGGTCAAATGGGGGTCGAAAAATGATGCTTTATATGCAAAAAGACCCTAGTTCCCTGAACCCCTTACATTAATCATCTTTTGGGAGATGGATGGTGGTGTTCTGTAGATGTGCAGTAAGGTTAGCAATGCAACATGAATATTTGTATTAGTACAGTGGCTCTTGTTCTATTCAATAGTCAAGTTGTCAGTCTAATTTTATCAGAATAGCCGATTATTAGAATAGCCGATTGCTCCATACTGAGTCCAAAGATAGATGTATAGAGCTACATGTATTGATAATACATTGTAGCAAATTTCAAACTTGCACTTTTGTTTTCGTTTGATTAGTTTACTTAGTGAATTTCCTAAAATAAATTATTTCACTTACAGATGAATCTAATATGATAACATTTTTCAAATAATTTGATGTACAAAATATATTCTTTGATAGTTATTGCCATCTTAATTCAGCACATGTTTACGTTCTTTCTTCGATGGTCGCCATTTTGGAAGTAGACTAAATGCTTGACTAATAACCGTAAACTATTTTTCCCTGGATAGATTGTGAATTAAATATAAATAAAAATATAAAACTAGATGCTGTCATGAGACAGTAATACCCGCACTAAGGTGTTTGCCTCTAAATGCACACTCCTTCATATTGGGCCTACCAAGGAATAAGCCAAAATAATTCTATAATTTACACAGTACATGTATTTGTCAAATCGAGCATAAAATGCTCAGGTGACCATGTGACCTATGAGCCTCTTATAGGTATTTCCTTTACTTAATTCATTACCAGTCTGAAATAACAGAATTTAATTAATGATGTAAATTAGGTTTTGATAAAAAGGGGGATATAAATTTTTGGCCCATAATTGAACTTTTTAAATTTATTTTCTCAACAACAAATAATGTTATTTTAGGACAACGCGTTTTTAATGAATTTATCAAAATGTGCAAACTTTTTTTTAGTATTTAATTAGGCAAAAACCCTCTTGAAAAGCCATACCCAATCAATTTTGTCCCCCCCCCCCCCTCACACACAATTTGCCTGTTTTTGGAAATAGGCCTAGATGGCAAAGTTATGTTAAAAACATCGTTATGATAATTTAAAATTTGTTCTTGTACTGTACATGTATGTGAACACCTTTTTGAAAAATTTCTTCATCACACTGGGCTTGCATCACCCTACTAGTGCTAGTTTTACCATTATCATTTTTAGATTGCACATGCATTTGGCAAACCTTGGCTGATTCCGTCACCTTCATCAAATGTTAGATAAGATACAAATCGGCCGAGGTGTGCCGAGTGATTGCACATGGTGCAGTGTGGTGAAAACATCATTACGTGTATATCAGTAGGAATTATTAATTCATTTTGTGTTTTAATTGGATTATATTTCATGAAGTTAACAGGACCTATGACAGTCAGTAAGTACAAATTTAAGTATAGATTGGGGTAAAATAAAATGAAATGCAGATGGTTAGGTTAAAGTTTAACTAGAACTGTCCAAAAGGGACAAATACCCCCCGCTGGGTTTTTCAGAGAAAGTACCAAATCACTAATGTTTTCTAGATGTGAGAGGTGTTCACAATTTCCTTAAACATTTACAGTGAAAATTTAATTACTCATTATATATTTTTATATGTCCATCTTACGACGGGGCGTATTATGTTATAGCGTTCATGTTCGTCCGTCCGTTAGCTTTTTCATGTCCGGCTCATAACTTTAATACTATTAGGCCTAGAATTATCAAACTTTGTCAGCTGATACATCTAGGGTAGAAGGTGTGTCGCACATTAAAACCAGGTCGCTCTGACATTTAATAAAGACGCTATGGCCAAATATGGAAAAATCATAACTAGAAAACCATTAGACTTAGAATCAAAAAACTATGTCTTTTAACTTTTAAATTACACAATCCCAAAAGATGTCAGAGTATTGCAGTATCTTTATTAAAAAAGTGTTAAATCAAGAAAATACTAGTCTTATTTTTTTCATTATGTTCTTTACAGCAATCTGTAACAACAAAAATTCAGGCACTGGTCAAGGAAAATTTTGATGGCAGAAAAATTGCATGTCAAATTAGAGAGAAATTAATGAGTTTAGTGTGAGGAGATAACTGGTAGAACATCTCTGATCAAGCAGGTGTTATCTACATCTCTTGGGAATTGGGCAAAAGGAATCAGTCTCTTAATTAATTGCTTGTGTTGTATTGAATTGTTCTTGTTGGCTAGTCTTACTTTCAAGATAAATTTGATGTAATTAAAACTAATTTGATATTGTATATAATAATTAAAACTTATATGATATTGTATAATATAATTTAAACTAATTATTTATTGTACATTTTTTATTTGAATTTTTATATCTTTACAACAAATTGCAGACTGCCTTGTCTCGCTAAGATGTCATTCAAGCAAATGAATCTATACTGTTTATGATAATTTAACAATATTTGATGGGCGTATCATGCTCTGGTGGGGCACTCTATTTAATGAATGAAACTACGGTGCAGCCTAATAAAACATCAACACTAATAATTACAGTGTTTTTTATTACATTGAAAAAATAGTTTGCAACTATCTGTCATCTTTGTGAGACATGACACTCTGCAAATTGATTGTTGAAAAAAAAAAATCATAATTAATTATAGAAAATCAAATTTATTTTAATACCTTTATATCAAACTCATTTTAAAAATAAAAGGCTGGTTTTAGTAACTATGTATTTTCACAGACATAAATTACAATTAAGAGACTTAGACAACAGAGATCTTTATTTCTTTCTGCCCAATTCCCCTGAGATATAGATAAGACCTAGAGATGCCCTAACAGCTTCCCACACTGAACTCATTAATTAATCTTTAACTGGATGCATGTCCACTCATTACTCCCAAGGGACAAATGGATTTACACTATCTGCTGTGTAATGTAAAAACTGTTTTTAATACTTTGTGTTTTTTTTTTAGTTCTAATGAGTAGTTTTAAGCTGTAGTTCACATTTTTGTACAGATGTTCTAGATTCTATGTCTCAAACCTTAGACATGAACTCGAAATGACTAAGTCAATAAATTAAATTAAAAAAAAACACTTGTAAAATGCAGAAAAATTATCAAATAATGTTGAAAATACCAGGTGCACATCTTCATATGGTAAATAATAAGTGTACAAATTTTCATACAAATCTATGCAATAGTCTCTGGGAACAGATCCAGACAAAACCACATAATAAAAATGAAAAAAACACCTGTAAAATGCAAAATAATTATCCAATCATAATGAAAATACCAGGTGCACACCTTCATATGGTGAATAATAAGTGTACAAATTTTCAGACAAATCCTTCCAACAGTTTCCAAGAAATGGTCCGGACAAAATCTCGTCTACAGACAGACGGACAGACGGACAGACAGACGGACATGCTGATTCCAATATACCCCCCCTAAACTTCGTTTGCGGGGGGTATAAAAAGGATCAAAGATCATCGGATGCCACAGTAGACGAATTTCACATTATGAAGAGTTATCTCCCGTTGTCGACATTACATTCAATTACATGCACAGATCCAGGAATTTTTTCGGGGGGGGGGGGGGGGGGGGGGAGGTCCACACCTCAGTCAAAAAAAATTTCCAGCCCAGAATTTCCTGTGAAGCAAAAAAAAAAAACCAACCAAACAAACAAACAAACACCAACAAACAAACAAAAACCAACAAACAAATAAAAACAATGATGGTGGGGTCCGTTTTTTATAGGGGGAGGGCGTCCAGTCATTTTTTAATTTGCTTCTGTAAATCA